TTAAGGAAGCGGGAGGGGTCAGTGGCGACAGCAATACAGTAAGTGTTTCCATGTGCTTCTCTTATTCATGAAGACGCACATAAACAGACACACACACACACAGGCTAACAAAGCATGCTGGCACATCCATGTCAACAAAAACTCTCCCTCAGACACACACAGACACACAAGAGCAGGGCTCGTGTGACTCATTAGGTGACTCAGGTCTTGACAGTAAAAATTACATCTGAAAACATTTACCGTATATTCATTAACAGCTGGTCCAAACTCATGACGAGAAGCACTTTAATGGATTTCACTGTTTCCTGCTAAGTCGTGCTGCTCCATACGTTCCTACAGCTACATGTTTCCAAACGTCTCCTTCTTCTTCCTAATTCCACTTCCTCATTCACCATAGTTCCTGTGTGCTATCGGAGGGGCTATTTTGGGGCATTCACAAGAAGAAAAAAAAAAGAGAAACCAGGCACAGGATTTGCTGAAAGTGAGACGGCAGAAGTTCACAAACGAGAGAAATAATGACCAAAAAATATATTGAGTTTTATGGTGTTTTATGGCCCTTTCCCTACTTTGAACGAGTAAAAAGGACAATATAGGTTTAATCATATGCTGACGAATGCAGTGTCTGTTGTGATATTTGTCTTAATCTCCTTTCAAAGAAAAGCTGGATGGGATTCCAGCTTTAATGTGGCGGATTAATTAAAAAAATGGGAGAAGGGAGCCAGCTCGAATAATAATCAGAGTGAATGCATAAGTAATCGGAGCAACTTATGTTGTCTTTATCTCATTCGTACCCATTTGCGCGATGTATGTGGGCTTATATTGTTTACGTGTCATCTCATGAGAAAGAAAAAAATACTTTGATATTGGCACTTACAAGATAGATTTGGGGGAGTTTCGACTCACAGCAGACCACCATGAAGAGGCAATAAGGATGCAGACAGACCATAGGTGTGAGCATGAGCTTGTGGTCTGGCCTGGGCTCATGTTAGTTTGTTGGAGGCAGTGTGTGACTTTTTCATACTGCAGTCATTGTGTACATATAAATATACATATATACACACACACATATATGTATATGTGTGTGTGTGTGTGTGTGTATTTGAGATTGTGATGGTCCACACGTGTGAGTATGTGTATTCTTTCCATAGCCTGTCACTCGTGTTGCTGCTGAGTCTTTGGTAACTTACAGCGCCTGTGTGTGTGTGTGAGTGAGTGTGTGTGTGTTTAAGCTTTTGTTTAATTTCTACTTCCTGTTTTATTCTTGGCCTAATCCAAACGCAACACAGCTGTGCAGTCAGCCAGAGAAAGAGGGCTTGGGGGATGGGTTGCCAGGTCCTGGTGAGTGCAGCCATGCTCTACAACTGCTACCAACAGATGGAAGGGAAATGGGGTTACCAGCTTGGACTTAACTTCTCTTTGTAGGCCAAACTGACCCCCACCCTCCCCTCTGTCATTTCATCATAATACTATGCTTAAATCTCTGTATTTTGGTGTTAGCTTCTTTACCTCCCCCTTTTTTCACAGTAGTTAGAGGCTTAGACTGTGGAAGGCCATACATGCCGCAAAATAAATATAATTAAATGTCAATTAAAAAAAAGAAAGACATATTACACGGTCTTATTGAGTCAATATTGTGACAGCCTGAAAAAACCCCAAAAGGTTCATGAACATTTGATGTATAATTCTGATTCAGTATCATCGTTTAGACACATCTCGGTGCAGAAGTATTCACCTGGTTGTCATTTTGCAGGTTCTGGGGTCTGTCACAAGAGCTCCCGGAGATTTAAGCTGTTTTTCCCCCACTTTTCTCTTTAGGTCCTCCCTGTAGCATTTTTATTCACCATTGTACACCATTTTTATTGGTTAAAATGTGTACTGAAGAGCAAAGTTCACTGAATGAATTCCTTAATTAGTCACTAATTATCTAATCTAGGAAGTAAAATATAAATTAGGTACATCTGTTCAACTGCTTGTTATCGCAAATATCTAATCAGGGACTCACATGGCAGCAACAGCAGGCAGACATCGTTAATACGACCTGCTGAAGTTTAAAACAAGCATCAGAATGGAGAAGAGAGATGATTTAAGGTGGCATTGTCAGTGACGCCAGCTGTGCTGGTATGAGTATTTCAGAAACCACTGATCTGCTGGGATTTTCCCACACAACCATCTCTAGATTTTACAGAAAATGGTCCAAAAAAGAGGAAATATTCCGTGAATGGCAGTTCTCTGAAATGAATGAAAATGCCTTGTTGATTTTAGAGGTCGCAGGGGAACGGGCAGATTGCTTCGAGGTAAAAGGAAGGCACTTGATACAACCAAGGTATGCATAGGAGCATATCTGAATGCACAGGATGTCAAACTTGGATGGGCTACAGCAGCAGAAGACCACAAAGCTCAAATCATCTCACAGTGATTTCTTGAACATGCCTATGGCAAATCTGCACCAACTACGTGATGCTATCAATATGGACCAAAATCTCTGGAGACTTTTTCCAGCACCTTGTTGAATCTAAGCTATAAAGAGTTAAAGGTACAGTGTGTAAAGTCTCACAACTAGATGTCAGTAAATTGCAGAGTCAACCGCATTCTGTTTCCTTGCCCTTCACAATTCAAGTGCACAGTGTTTTGACACTGTTAGTGGCCATCAGTGAAACCTTCCTTGAAGTGGATTTAACATCGTTGGAAACTTGAGCCTAAAATTATAGGCTATAATAAAACTATAATAAAATAAACTACTGCCCACGCCTTACTTTTAATGGATTAATTCTGAGTTTATGAGAACACATCATGTGTTAGAAGATGTAATTATACACTAATCAATGCATATTTATGAGTACAGCAATCACTTCTTTCTATCACGTAACCTGAAAAAATACTTACTGTACCTTTAAGACAGCTCTAAAGGCAAAATGGGGTTCAACCCAGGATCTTAACATCAAGCCATTAAGCTACATTTGAGATTAACATCTTTATACTATTAGGATAATATATTCAGTTTAATCAAACAACTTACACACACACACACACACACACACACCTTTTATCTAAGTAGTAAGAAGATTGTACCTCTATAGATTAAAATCAGTTTTTCTCTGTTATGTGAGACAAATATTTTTTGGGCAGCTGGGATTTCTATTTTCATTGCAATACTGGAAGTGACCACCTGGAAAAATTAGCACCAAGGTGTACAGATCTCTTAATTATTCTTAATTAATTAGTCTTAGGTTCAGGATAAGCATAAACACATCCATCAATACGGCTAGTTATCCAACTTTGGGAGTCTTTACCAGCTGATTCTAACTGTAACAAACCAACACCTCCTGTCCACGGCTTGGCCGTTTTTCCACATCATATCCGCAAACGCTGTATCATCTTCCATCTTTGTTCTGCTGGATGTATAATGTACTGTTTAATCCACATGTCGGAAGGAAAATTCACATTCACGTTATGCAAAGCAAACATTCCTCCAAATCTCCTGCTTCTCCATTGGTGCCTCACCTCTTGAGAGATGGTAATGTGGGGGAAATCAAACATTTTTTCTGAGGAGCCAGCCCTCAAGACATTCAAATGAGGCAATACATTTCGATTCATATTTCAGGTGCAGTTTCTGGAGTGTTTAAGTGATGAGAGTAGCAATCAGAAGCAAAGAGCTGGACTCTCAAACTCGGCTGAAGTCACGGCTCTTGGTTCGCTTCAGTCTTGTGTGCCTGTGGAGAGCTGAGGCATCTCTCTGGTCTCTCAGCCCAGCACAGCACATTCATTATTAATCTACCAGAGTCTCTCCCTCCTTCTCGGCTCAACCAATTACAGTTGGGCCCCTGCGACTGCTGCCTGTCTCATTTGACGCTGCGCTGGTTGGCTTTGATGTCTCTATCAACACGAAAGAGCCGGGCACCGAGTCTTAATAGAGCAGTAGGGGATTATGCGACTGCCAGCCCCCGGGGGTGGAACAATTTTTAAAATATATGTTTAATTCATACTTTATTTTATTATCAGGAGACTTTGGGCCAAGCTTTAGCCAGGGTCTTGCCACTTTCTGCACTGCTATCACAGCAACATGCTTGTTAATCCTATTACCCTTTCATTTGGGGAACCACACAAGCCTGCAAGCAGAGCAGGCTCGACTACCAGAGGCCTCGCACACCTCCCTCCTGGGCTGGCAGCCTTTCCTTCCTCTGCTCATTTCATATGGAGAACGCCTTTATTAACCAGCAGAAGCCACTCCACATGCAGCGCTGATACTCTGGTATGAAGTCGGGCTGCTTTGGCTCATAAATGTTAATGTTGTTATTAGGGTTCAGAGGTCAGTTTGCTTCTCAGAAAAATCTACTGGTACTTGGCAAAAATGTAAAAACCACGAAAGCGAGGTTGCACAAACTCCAATCGGCAACAATGTTTCCAAATATAATCAACCAATTTCTGCTTTTTCTCACCACTACACTGCCATTAGATGCTCGCAGCTCCCTGGTTCCACTCAGTGTTATTTGTTTAAAGTGGGCTTTTCGCCATCAGTTGAACTTCTAACAACAATCGTTCCATCACTTCCCTAACTCAGGTCCCACTCGCTATTTGCAGCACTGACCTTTAAAGCAGGAAGTTACTGTTAACACAGCTCCAACGACAACCTGCTTTACAGCATTTTTTTTCCCTCCCCCTTCTCACCAGGGACAGCGCTCTGCACTAAAGTCCCGTCTCACACATGCTAAAAATTTAGATTACAGGGTCTGGGTACCGTCATTTAAAATTACGACTTCATTTGACAGCAGCGGTGTCAAGTTAGAAGACCGCACTAGCCGCGACGCCCAATGACAAAAATTCACTTTGGAAATTCATTTTCATTCTGCATGATTTTCATTAACGGAAAACAGCAGCTCTATTACATAAAGCTGTGATGTAATTTTGTGAGCATGACTCAAAGCAGCGGGAAACCCCACGCAGAAGAATCTCAAAGCTGCTTTCATTATCAAAAAGAAAAAAAAAAAAAGACAACATTGCATACATTTATTAGGGATGGACGCCAATTCTAATACATGCAAATTCACCATTGTCCTTGAAATGTAGTGTCAACATTATTGCAAACACTTGTCTCCCTGCTGTTTTGTGTATTATATTTTTATTATCTTAGGATAAAAAAAACATTAACAATTACATGGGATGCCTTGTTCTGCATAATTTAACATATACACAGTGGGAACAGGAATGGCAATGCTTTAGACATCATCACAGCCTCTTTATAACCCCCGCCCACCCCCAACCCACTGCCCGCATGCAGTTTGCACTGCACAAAGGCCAAAAGTCACGTGAGACAGCCTGCAAAGAGCACAAGAAGCATTCACAGTAAAGGAATATAGGAAGGAGGAGAGGATGGAGGGTGGGGGAGAGTAAAAGATGAGAGGAGAAGAGAGGGAGTGAAACAAAGTGACTGCAGCACTGGCCTTGGTTTAAACAGGAGAAGAGCAGCATAGTCCTCGTATATCATTCTAGCTTCTCCCACACTTCAACTCCCATCTCCTGATTGTGGTACTCTTTCCATTGTCTTTGACACGAAAAAGTTTGTTATATATGCATGTATATATGTATATACATATATGTATGTATATATATATAAACACAGTTTTATAGCTACAGCACCTTTTCCCATGGGGCAACAGTGTCAATACCTCGCACATGGTTCATGGTCGTGCCAGAGAGAGAAAAAAACAAAACAAAACAATATATTGGTCAGGATATTTCATCTTTTTTCCCCCTAAAATTGGCATTTGACATGATGATATTCTATTGCCGTCTGGGGGAGGGAAGGGACAAAGGTTCTTCTTTTGAGTTTATATTCAAGTTTTCTCCTTTTTTTCTGCTGTATAATTTCTTCCTTTTTCTTGTTTAAAAAGAGTTCACACTTTTGTGATTTGTGTGTGCTGCTCTTCATCAAAAGGTTCATTTTCCGGATCTGAGTCAGTGGTGTCAGAGTATCGATAATGGTCTGGCTCATTGTCGCTAACGTCGGGGGTGACTGATGTTGAAGTACTAGCCTCGGAGTTCGGCTCCTCCACGGTTTTCGTAAAGTACAACTTCACCTGGAAACCAAGACGAGATGATCACAAACAAGTCTCGTCGCTGCTCTTTTCAGTTTAAAAATGCAAAGTGAACTGACAGCAGATATACGGTTATTCAACAGCAGAAAGATTACAGCACTTACTTTGAAGTTTGGTGAGAAGTAGCGGTTAGCTTTGTCTTTGTTGGCCTTGTCCAAGTCGTTCTTATTAAGTGTCAGGATGAGATAGTCCTTGTCCCTGTCGCTTTCTTTGCTGCTTTCCTTCTTCTCCTCCCTGTAGTTTTCTCTGCAGTTGTCCTTGCACTCGGCACTTTGCAGTTGACCCAGTCCCGGTCGGCCTGGTCCAGGTCCCTGTCCCGGAAGACCCTGCCCTGGTGGCCCCTGCTGGCTCTCTAAACTGTTAACTGCCCCGTTCTCCATCTTGTCCCCACCCTCCTCTGGTCCAGGGATGAAGAAAGTGTTCACCCAAAAATGAAACATTTTGTCCTGGAGGGGGAGAGGTTACAACAGATTGAGTGAATGAAGTATTGAAAGGAAACTTTACAGGTTTTTGATTATGCTTCTTTCCAAAATCAGTTGTTCTAGCTAAGGCTGATGGTCCATTTTTTACTGTCAACAAATTCAGAGAAAAGCCAGCCTTGCACTAGTCAGTTTAAGTATTTTTCAACTGCTGTGCACCCAGTACATTTCTTTCTACCAATGCACTATTCTACTCCTGTTTCAGAAGCGTTTGTTAAAAACTGCACCCAGCCATTTTAGGAAATTAGCGAGCATTTAACCAGTGTCGTTTTTAGCAAACACTACTAACAGGAGTAAACAGTGCATTTTTTGGGGTCTATTTTCAGCTGTGGGTTAATATAAATTTCAGTATTTATGGCAGCAGGACAGCGAATGAGGGATTTACCTCAAAATAAACTGGTTGCCCTGCTTGTGGTCCTGAAGGAACATGCCAATGGTGTGCCTAATTGATCTGTTTTTAATAGTTTTTGGGACAAAACTGGCCTGCAGCACAGAGACCCAAGATATTAAAAATACCACATTTTTGATTTTTGGTTTATTTGTGAGAACTGTGGCAATAAAACCGTAATTGCTGGCACCCTGCCAAGTGTGAAAATGCTTAGTCGTCTTATCGTTCTGTGACCTAGTCACTTTATGGCATACAGTGGCTGAAATAAGCTCCTAAATTAGACTGAGCAAATGAAGCCGCAATGAAATCTCCCAAACACAGACAACTAACCTTCTTCAACATCTTATTCTGTTTATGGAAGAACTCCACTTTGATGTCTCCGCAGACTGGGAGCGGCTGGGGAAATTCAAAAAACATATGCTTGTCCTCGCGCCGTGTGTGAGCGGGGTTCGATGTGTGAATCTTCACTTTCAGCTGGTACACCACAAACTGGGGATCTGGAAAAAGTGTTGACGTTGTACAGGGGTGAGGAGCACGATGGGTGAGATTTGTGAGAGGGGGAAGGGGGGAGTGGGAGAGAAGAGACAGAAAGCACAATAAGAGTGAGCGACAGTGGAGGAGAGAGTAAATCAGGAGGGCGAGACAGGATACAAGTGTTATTACATGAGTTTGACAAAAGAAAATGGCACAGCACACCACCACCTCCCACCCACTGAGTAAGTGAAAAAAAAAAGTGATAAAACATTATATTAAAATTAAGGAGGAGAAAGGGAAAGTTAACAGGCCACAAAATGTAACACCCAAATAGACCCAGAACCAGAGACACAGGACCCTATTCTGATAGACAGTCATTGGTTTGGTCTTGGACCAGCACAACACGTTGCATTTAGAAGAATTTTAACCCTTTCTTCTTCCTGTCAGGGTGGAGGGTGGTGCTGGAGATGACTTCATGTGCCCCTAAGCTTTTCCTTTCCTGCTAAGCAACATGTCTACCTCAGACTGCTCCTGCCTTCTGGATCTCTGGGGCCATATAAAAACAAATGAGTGAAAAAATAATAATGGATGAAAGGCTCATTTACCCCAATGCCAATTCCCTTTCTTGAAGCCCTGAGGGGTCGGCTCGCTCCTGTTTTTAATGGTACTGTCCCCTTAGAGAGAAAGAAGGAGATTATCACAAACAGGGCCTGGCTGGCCTGTCAGGGGCTTGACAGCACAGCAGGTACAAAACACAAGAGCTCTACACAAATATTTACATCTACATAGCTTTTCTTAACAACAACATTCAATCCGTGGCTTCAAAGCGGAGTTGTGCATCTTACAAAAACGTTTGACAAGGCACCTAGTGTGCACATGAGAAACACAAAGAGGAAGAAACAAACGGGGAACTTTGAAATTGCTGAAAATCAAACGACCAAAATGCGTCAGTTTTCTTTGGTGGAAATAAAGAGAGAAGTGTTTGACATTGAGCAGTTTCTAGCAATTAAACTGGTTTCTATTTTATCACTGCAGTGAGCTAAGAACTAGAAAAGCTAGAAAAACAAACCGCAAAACAGAAAAAAAGCGATGCACATACGAAGACGTCAAACTCAGAATAGGGCCTTTTTAAGCAGAGGGTTAGCAGGGAAAAAAAAGAAGGATCGATACAGTCAGGGGTTTGCAGCACAGTCACGTGTTAGGGTAAAGAAGTCACAGACATGAAGGAAGGAGAGGTTGCTTTTTCTGACCGACAGCTAAAAATGGACAAATTCAGATACGAGGAGAACACAACATCGTATGACTCAGATGCATTTGAGCAGATAAGCAGAATTATTTCACTTTTTTTTTAACCCCCTCCTCAGGCTAAAACAGAGCACTATTTAAACACTAAAAAAAAGGTTTTCTACATGCAGCTAAACACTCTGCATTCATGTGAACATGAAAAATGAAACGCAGGGAATGAAATTTAATTAAGAGTGACATTATTTGCTTAGAAATTTGGGGAAATCACTAATGTTAGCACTGCAGTAAGCATTTGGTTTTGACGGCTGTTAAAAAAAAAAATCAAACGGGTTGGACTGCTTGCGTTTGTCACTACGTCAACAGGGGAGAACAAGTGCAAATGTTGGCAGACATTTTACAGCCGTCATATCAATTAAACTCTGAGCAAACATGCAGTGATATGTAAATACTCATAACTGAGTGGCTGTTACCGTCAGTGACTTACTGAGTGCTGCGCTATTGTTTGCTAAAATTACTGCCATCTAAATTCCTCTCGACTTTAAGTTACTTCCTGGTTCGGCCTTAGGAAAACATGTAAAACCTGTGCTTATGTAGCTACTACTATAGGATGCGCTCTCCTCTATAGAAGGGCATGCTGTAGTTCTTCTCGATAGCGAGCATAGAAAATGAAATCCTATAAAAGTCTCTCCCTCGAGAGAAGCCAAAAAAAATTTAAATTAATGGCTCGACTTTGCAGCTTTCGGAGCTAATAAAAATCTTAAAAGGCTCCTGTGAAAAAAAAATCTGAAATTTTTATTAAGACAACCAGTGGGGATCTGGTTCACCGGGATTTTCTGTGAGCAGCAACAAGCAGACTTGATCGATACAAAACCGCCCTTGTTAGTTAAATACAGCACGAAATTCAGCTGTACTCAACAAGGCTATTAAAAAAAAAAAAAAGAAACAGCAGAGGACAACTTGGCTCCACCACAGATGACCTGCAATGCCCTACGGTGCTACGCTGCAGTGTGGGTTAGCCCCACGGTGCACCATACATGCAAGGCCCTCGCTCTGTCTGAACAGCGGTATGCATGCCTACGCCCTAGATTGGAGTTGAAGTTGAACATGAGCGTGACTCACTGCAGGTGCCCCCGCTGAACATAGGGAGAGTCTCGAACACCATTTTGTGGAAGAGCAATGCCACCGGCTTGTACTCCAGCTGGTGCTTCAGTAGGTAGCTGTAGTAGTAGACGTAGCGACGCTGGCTCGGGATCGTTACTCCCTGCAAACAAAAGCAACAATGTTTAATCCAGGGGTGCCAAACATAAAGCCCAGGGGCTGGAATTGGCACGGAAAAGAGTCCACTCTGGCCCACTGGACGGCTTTGAAAAAAATTGAAAGGATGACATGAATTTGAGACTTTTAAGTGTATTTTATAAGTTTTATGGCTTTCCCCCCACAGCCAGTCATACTAAACCACTGTAAATAAGTAACAGATAAACAAATAACAGAAAGCTCCCAATCAGTCACTATCTACTATAGAAATGTATGATTTTAAAGTCGGATTACAGCAAAAAGAAAATAAATATTTTTCATTTTATAATTACAGGACAGTCTTTTTCTTACATTTTAAGCTCAAAGCAGCATTTTTTAATCATGTAGTAAAACTGAGATGTGTTGATGAAACTACAGTACTATTACTTATGTTAAAATATCTCGCAGATTAAATGTGTAGTGAAACTTTTTTAGACTGACAGAAAAGGGAGTTTCACTGGTTTGGCACACTTAAGTAGGCCGTATCTGCATGTGGCCCACAATGCAAAATGAATTTGACATCCGTGGTTTTGACGCAGATGAGGGACGCAGGACGCAACATGAGATCACCTTCGAGTTTATCCGTTTAATATGTATTACTTCTTAAAACAGAGCACTGGTGCCTGAAATTATCCTTCTGTTTTCTATGTGTGTTCAAATCTTTGTTTTCTATGTGTGTTCAAATCTTTGTTTTCTATGTGTGTTCAAATCTTTGCAACCTTGATAATTATTAGTGAAAATCAACTCAGTCATCTTGTATGGTCTCCCTCTCTTTTTCTTAGCTTGAACATGAAATTTACTTTCAATTTGAAACCAATTAAGCAGGATGTGGCTCATCAGTCACTGCCCTGCTTGATGCAACTGCTCTAAAAAGTAATAAAGCCTTCTGAATTGAAAGCATTTGTTTCGTGATCTCACCTTCTTGTCCCTTGTCCTGACCTCCCCATAAAAGTCAAGTGCTTCTTGGGCCTCCTGAAATTTTCCACGATGGAGGAGATACGCGCAGATCATGACTCCGGTGCGGCCCTTCCCGGCCTTACAGTGGATGGCCGCCACGTGATTGTCATCCTCACTGAGCCACTGGTCCAGGTCTTCACAAAACGGCTTAATAAGCTCCAGCTGAGGAGGGTTATGGTCTTCGAAGGGGTACTGTGCAACTGAGGTGTGGCGGGATGCAAGCCCACGCAAAGTTGTGATTAGAGAAGGGGGGGGGGGGGGAGAGACAGTGCAAACAGGTCAGCATAGACAAGGTGGGCAGGGAGATGCTGAGTATTTTGAGAGATCTGACGACCTTGTGCGTCATCAGGCCTTCAGCAGAGCTTTTATTTCTTAAAAACAGCATTTATAGAAAACGTGAAGCAGCCTACCTCTGCAGTTAAATTTGGCAGTATCGTAGTGTCTTTCTGCACAGCTGAAATGTCAAGAAAATCCCCCCCAGAAAACTCCAGTTAGCAATCACACAAGAGGAAGCTGGTAAGTAAACAAGGATGAGCTCAGATGCAAACAAAATGTAGAAACTTACAGGTTGTAGATTTTGTAGTGGTTTTTATGCTTTGAATCCAAAAACCTGTCCGCAGAAAAATAATAAAATCATTAGATCGATATGAGATCAAAGTGCTAGAGCAAAACGAATAAACTCATGTACTGCAGGATAAACTGCATGTTTGTTATATTACCCTTTACCGAGATCACACTTACCGTACTACATCATCTATATTGTTTCTGTACACGCCTTCAAGTCTCTCTGCTGGAAAGCCCATTGCAATGATATTTGGGTAAATATCTGTTCAAGCAGTCAAGGAAATGTACAATCTGCAGGAAATCAAGAGGGAGCTACTACCAAGGCTCCCAGCGTCAGAACTAAAGCTTTTAAAGGAAAGGACTGCTTAAAAGAATTTGCCATTACAGCACAACTTCAAGAATGCAGACATGAGTGAAAGGGTTGAGAAAAGTTTTAGTCCACGCCATTATAAGAGTGTGATTGTAGTTATGGATAGACAGGAGAACAGGGGAGGGGTGCTGGCCAGTATGTGCGTGCATGTTGTGACAGATGGCCTTGACAGTGAGAAGCAAGCAGTGACGGCAGGAGTAACCATGCTCCTGCTTCAGCCAGGCCCACATGTGGGTGCATGAGTAGAGTCTCTGCTCCCTGACCGGCATGTATTTTTAGAACCTAAAGTTATATTGGGATGATCGCAAATGTTCGACTTATCTAGTCTGAATTCAGCCAGAGACATTTGAATATCTGCGAGATTGCAAGCGGGCAACATGAAGTCACACATGTAAGGAAGAGGGGAAAAAAGTTAACTCAAAAAACAAATGCGCCGAGCTGCAAATTTGCAGGTGCAGAAAAAGGTGGTGTTTGTGTTTCAAATGGCTCCATATTTCCGCAAGAACGGTGAGGAAAATGTCGTGGCCAATTATATGGTGACATACATTCACTCTTAAAGGCGCACATCAGTGTCACATTGCACTGAAAAAGAATAATTTGGTTGGCATGCATGTCTTGAAGGCTCGGCTCCAACGCCTACCTGTAACTGAAGTCTGCTCGTCAGTCTAAGCTGTGGGATTTCACACTTTAACCACTGACTAAAGGGCAACCTTTTCTTACACTTCCTGTGCCACAACGTCAAAAATAGAAAGGCTGAATATTTCTAATTGGATGTGTTTCGTTTTGTCCCCCCCCCCAGAGTCAAATCACTTTTTAACTGGTCAGAATAATTTGACACACGCATCTGACAGCTTTGGCGAGAAAGCACAGCCGGCAGCCTCTATACAGCCCTCAACTTTCCTGGTGTGTGCAGTGCACATACAAGAACCTGTGCATGTAAAAAGCCCACAAGGTCAACTCTTTTGATTCAGTCTGCATACACACAGCTCATTGTTCAATCAGCAGACCTACAAGTACAAAAAAAGGTTTTCCACAAACCCGGGTCAACTGTACTACGGCAGACATTAATGCTGTTTCAGCCATTTTTGGGGGAAATTTTCAGCAAAACCCCATCAGAGGATTTCAGTAAGTGCCTGCACGCAACCCCATGCAACCAGGCTATGCACAACACAGGCCTCGTACATAAATTCAAGCCAGCCCTATAGCAAATCTTTGAGGTTATTTGCATACAGCCAAGCTACTTCCTTGAAACTCAGCACAGCCGCCTAAGCTGTATATCCTGTACTATAATAAACCTGTTGATTAAGGGCTCAAAAACCTAATTAGGAGATAAAAACTAGTTTTTAATGCTTTATAATGGGCTACTCTAACCCGTGGATCTGTGGGCAAAGTGGGTCCAGTCAGACTTTAACTGATCTTTACAAACCTTCAGGGAGAACTTCAGTCCAGAGCATGGGGGTCTTGGTTTCTGCAGCTGGAAAGAGATTCATATGTTGGACCCCTGAAGGAAGCTCCAAGTAGGAGGAAAAAAAAAATCTGATGCTTTAGACACGCCTTTTCTTAAAAGCCAGCCCTGCCTCAGCTCTATGCATATGCCAAATCCACAACTGAGAACGAGAGAGGGGGGGAGATAGGGAGAGTGGGACCCAGCAGGAGCTAAGGTGGGGAGGACAGGAAAGGAGGAGAGCAGAGGAAAAGGGGCAAGCAGAGGGAGGGAGAATTAGGAGTGGGAGTAGTAAAGAAAAAGAGCAAAAGGAGAGGAGAGGTGGTGGATTGAGAGGGTAAGAGGGAGAGAGCACTCAGACAGCAATGATGATACAAGATCACTGGCAACTCTATTTTAAGGGCAATTCCCAGAACTGTGATACTGCATTACATAACTGCAGAAAGCCCATATTGTTTTTAGACATAGTGCCAAACATGATAAAAGGGATAATTCGAAAGGGCCCACATCCAAACAAGAGGTGGCTTCACACCAAAGAAAGATTCCACTTTTGAGTGGTGTACCCTATTCACACCTGCACAAAGCTGTAGAGGTATACCACAAGAGTCCTGCCACTGACAAGACATGACATTCGATTTACCACATTATAAAAGCAGGCGAGAAACATCAGATCAAATACTGTGAGACACGCCTTTCATCAGCATCTGCAGTCACACATACATCATAGCTGACAGCTCTGCCTGAAATCACTTCACTATGTTTCTATCTATAGTGTCAAGTCAAGGTAACTAGCACTCAGCTCTACATCTGCACTTTCAGAAAAAAAAGAACAAAAAACGCCACTCAGCAAGGTTTTCAAGTTGCTAACAATAACAAAAGTAAATTCGGTACATAAACACTCCAGGCCGCTCAACTCTTTGTATACTTTAAGGAACCAGATAGGGTTGGAACTTCCATTATTGATTAATCTGCAATTTCAGATTCCTACCCCCCACCCCCAGCACACACACACCACCTAATAATAATGTGGAAAAAGTCCCAAAGCCCAGGTGGGATTTTCAAACGTCTTAATTTCTTCTTACAGTAATATATAT